CCTTGGTTGGCAAACATAATTTTACGGCCTTCAACTTCATCAACAAGTAACTCGGCCAAGCCTCCCTTTGGTCCAACCTTCATGAGCCCCAAGTAACCATCACAGATGTACAAATCTCCCGTTTTCTTCTCAAAAGTAAGTCCCAATGGCCTTCCACAACTAGGCACCACGTCATTTCTTGAGCAGTTCCCTCTGCATACATGGAAGGTAATATTTAAAGTTATCATTAGTTAATTTACTTATTTGATTTTTCAGAGACGCCAACATATATATTTTTATCATGTCATCGGTTGTCAAGCCGCTAAGATATGGCTGACACCAATCCGTACCTTATGAGTTTGATCGAGTCCCTTTCCGAAATACTATCAAGATAATTATATTTTTTTTCCTAAGTTACATTTGTGTCAATATTGAAAAAACAGAGATATAAACTATTGGGACAAATCCAAGGAATGTTTGCACAAATATATATTGGTCAAAAACCTTAAAATTTAATTACAAAACTCAAGCTTTTTTTTGGTAATTATTACAAAACTCAAGCTGATTCACTGGAAAACTCAGACAAAAGGTCAGAAATCCTAATTCTCAAATAATAATAAAATTAAAAACCTGAAAAATATTATTTGTTCTTTTCTCTCTTCAACTTATTATTATCCTCTCTTTTCAAAAAAATAATAATAATAATTTTTAAGGAGGGTTACACAACAAACGAGTGGTAGCCGAGACATCTTGGGTAATTTTCTTCAACTAATTTGGTACTCTCTTTTAATTTATACTTATTTGGTACATGTATTAGAAAAAGGTAAAAATAAAAACCTGTGAGGAGATGTATAGGCAAACTCAACCCAGCCGAGATCATCGCCGCGCCACTTGAGAATACGGCCGTCCACCATGGCAGCATAAGGACCTTCTCCTTGCGGGTCAAACTCAATGCTCTCTGGTCCAACAACAGGAGTTGGAATGGTCTTAGCCGCTGCCAGTATATTTTTGGCGCCCTCTACATCTCCCGGCACAAGAAAGATCTGATACGAGGTTATGGACAAGACGGCCAACACAACCGGAGCAACGAACCATGTCGGAACTTTCTGATTAAGCGGCATGTTTCCCGCCCCTGATCAAAATATGTTGTTGAAAGAGACGTATTGAAGTAACACCAAATTAAATGTTGTGTGTTTTCTTATTGTTTGGTGGATGCATAGATATACACGTCTCGCCGATTCGCTTGTAGCGCCAGCTGTGAGAAAAACTAAAATAAACCATGCGTTTCGTCAACGGAGGTGACAAGGTCAGTTTAATAATTGAAATTTATCGGAACTTCTCGAAACGCGAAGGAATTTGACGGGAAGACGATGTTACGCCCACGTAAAACCAAAACAAACGAATAAGACGTTACGCACGTACATACGTTTACGGTTTATCATTACAATTAAGAATTAACGATTAATTTGTGATTTAACAAAAAAATTATTTACACCAACTTCTCGTCATGAGAAAACGGACGACTGAAAAAAAAGAGAAATATGGATAATTGTGTTTAAACGTATTATTCTAATAATTGGTACTTTTATAGACTGTTTGAAAGAGCAAATTGAGTAAAGAAGCGAATATTCGATTGCCCTTCTCAGAGACCCGACAAAAATTGAAGCCAGGCTATATCTTTTATTCTTTCTTTTGGACCCAAGCCAGCTTAAACGGATTTGCTGCCAACTAATTAAAATTAATTTGAAGATAAACCCGACACAACATCAAAGTGTAGATACATTTCACGTCACTTCATTTTTCGACCACATATAATAAGTCACTGATGTGTCCACTTCAAACATAGCCACCACCCACGAGTATTACTGTTTCTTTTTTCCACTCGGCATATTTAATTTAGCTACTATGGCAAAAGAAAAACGTGTTTCATTTTCTATGTTAATCTCTATCCTAGCATATTTGAATCTTTCATATTGCTAATGATTATTGATACCAACCGACAAAACATATATAATAACCATATGCTATATATATATATATATATATATATATATATATATATATATATAATTAATTATATGCAATATATACAATTAAGATGGTTTTACGAAATGACTTTAACATATAATTCTTTCTACAATTCAAATTTTTGGAGGGTTGGATTCTGTCTGCACCTACAATCACAATAAACTATGATGAATTGATCGATGATAATGATGAAGATGTTAAAATATTTAATCAACTTTGCATCCATATGTTGGAAGAGAGAAATTTCTTAAAATCGATATAACAGAATCAGCTTTCCACAACAAAAACGTGTTTGAAATATAACAAAACATATTTAAATGTGTGTGTAATAAGAGAAACTGCATAATTAGAATCAGCGAGATATTCTTAGGTAATTTGGTAAATTTTATAACCAAATAAATTTTACTATAAAGCGGTATACGTCTCAGCCATTATCAGATCGTTTGACACCTTGTCACCATATGATTACGTCATAACAAACACTAAAGACTAAAGACAGTTTTAAGAATCGGAATTTTCACAAATTAGAAATAATAAATATTTTTTTAATTAATATTCATTATGCTTAAATAGTAGATACAATTGTCACTCATTTGCGATCAAGAACCCAAACGGCTGGCCAATAAACAGACCCAAACCATAACTTTCCATCATCTCTCTCATAAACCTCACTTACATACTTCATTGTCTTTCCTTCTTTGTCTTCAAGAACTTCAAGGACCTCCCCTGTCTCCCCGGAGATTTTCACGGCGACCCCCTGCGGCTTAAATCCGTTAAGGAAAGCAATCACGTACTCCATTTTTATTGTCTTTTCAACCAATTTCCCGAACCACTCATTCCTCAAAATAAATCGACCTAACATGTTTTTCTTGCAGTGTATACCAATCCAAAAATCTCCCGTTGGTGTTAGCCGGATGTTGTCGGCGTAACCTGGGACTTTAGTAAAGATATCACGTGTCCCGGCTTTGGGGCCTTTGATCCAGTATCTGTGGACAAGACTTGTGGCAGACTCGCATGTGATTAGGAAAGACCGATCTTTGTTTAGAGCCAACCCGTTGTTACAACGGAGATTGTCCATAACAACTTTGGCCTCTTTCGTCTTCTTATCGTATCTGATCACTCTTCCTGACGGCTCCATACGGACACCCTCCATGAATACGTCCCTGACAGACAAACATCACATAAAAGTTTTGAATAAGTTTTACATTCAATCAAAAAAAAAAAACATCACAGCTAACTTTTGGTAAGCAAACAAAATATCCAAGTCTTTTACGTAAATGCTCAGATCCAAGATAAGTATATGTATAAAGCATAATGCATACCTGAAATGATACTTGTCACTACTATCATTGAAGTAGAAGACATCTTCCTCTTCGTCCATGTCCCCTTGGTTGGCAAACATAATTTTACGGCCTTCAACTTTATCAACAAGTAACTCGGCCAAGCCTCCCTTAGGTCCAACCTTCATGAGCCCCAAGTAACCATCGCAGATGTACAAATCTCCCGTTTTCTTCTCAAAAGTAAGTCCCAATGGCCTTCCACAACTAGGCTCCACGTCATTTCTTGAGCAGTTCCCTCTTCATACAAGAAAGGTTATAAAGTATCATATTAGTTAAGTTACTTATTTGATTTTTCGGAAAAGCCTACAATAATTTTTTTTTTTTTGGTTTAGACACAACACATGAGTCCCGAGACCTCTGGGGTAATTTTCCTTATCTTAACGTTGTAACAAAAAATGTTTGAAAAAAACCTGTGAGGAGATGTGTAGGCAAACTCAACCCAGCCGAGATCATCGCCTCGCCACTTGAGAATACGGCCGTCCACGACCGCAGCATAAGGACCTTCTCCTTGCGGGTCAAACTCAATGCTCTCTGGTCCAACAACAGGAATTGGAATGGTCTTAGCCGCTGCCAATATATTTTTGGCGCCCTCTATATTCCCTGGCTCAAGAATTATTTGGTACGAGATTATGGATAAGATGGCCAACACAACCGGAACAACGAACCAAGTCGGAACTTTCTGATTAATGGGCATTTTTTTACCCCCGAAAAAAATATGTTGGTGAAGAGACTTAGAGACGAATGTATTACACAAGGTTATAAGAAAGAAGAAGAAGAAGTTCAGTTTAGATTTTTCTTATTGAGTTATTGTTGTGTGGATGGATACATAGTCGCCTGAAGGACCAGTTTTCTTATATAGAGTTAATAATGCTGTGGAAACTCTGGAAAGTGAAAACCCCATGCGTTGATTCAGCGAAGGTGAACCAATGTTTGTTTTAAAAGATACTTTACGCATTATTCGAAAAATATTTTATTTGTTTATTTTTTGGTCGGAAAAAATATTTTATATGTTGTCATTATGAAAGGCCAAACATCTTTAACGATATTTTTTAAACCACACCAACTCCTCGTCAGACTAGAAAGAGAAACATGAATAATTGTGTGAATGTATTATTTTACTTCCTAGTTGGTCTTTTATAGGCTGCTAAAACAGAAACATGAATGAGAGGATCTCCAACACAAATGTGTGAAAATGCAAAATTTGTATTATTTAATATTTTCGGCCGAACCTGAAATTAGATGGGTCAAGTTTGTTGACTTCTAGTCATAGTTTCGTTAGGCCCTTTTAAGGAATAAACCAAATTTGAAGTCGGCTATTTGTTATTTTATAGTTTTTTAAAAATATATAATAAATTTCATTCATTCTAAATTTATAATAGTACCAATTAGTGCGGTGGATCTAACTCATATGATCCAACAACTAACTTAAATTATATGGTGCTGCTGAAAATTTAATCAAATTATAGTCAAATCTGACATGACAAAAATGTGTAAGAGTAAGTATTCACGTGACTTCATTTTCAACTTCTGACATAGCCACGACCCACGAGTATTATTACTTTTGATAGATTACATTTGCCTAAATTTTTTTTATCAGATTAGTTTAGATTAGAATATTAGACACCTTTAAGATGTCACCATATGATTACGATATATATAACAAACACTACATAAACCTTTTAAAAAACTTCACGTGGACGTGTAAAAACAATACAACAACGAGAGTTAACGCACATAGTTGTGACAATGTGATACACAGAGAAACTTATAACAATGTAAAGACAATTATGTCTGAGCAATGTACAAAACTACAAATCATAAACACCAACAAATGGCATGACACTAGAACCAATCCAAAGCTTGCCATCTTTCTCTTCCACTTCACTTATATATCTTAATCTCTTTCCCTTATCTTCAAGTACCTCCAAAACTTCTCCTGATTCACTCAACTTCACGGCTTTAGTATGAGGTCTTTCTCCATTGAAAATCGAGTAATTTATAGCGACCCAGAACTCTCCGTTGGAGTTTCTTCTGATGTTGTCAGGGTAACCCGGAAGCACAGCAAACACATCTTGGGTTCCTGCTTTTGGACCAGAGAGCCAAAGCCTTAGGATTTTGAAATTGGTTGTTTCGTCGACCAATACGAAAGACCGGTCTTTGCTTAATGTAACGCCGTTTGGAAATGAAAGGCCATGTAATAAGACCGTCGCTTTCTTACTTGATCTGTCATACTTGATAAACCTTCCAGTCTTATCAACGGTCATGAAAGAACCGAAGTAATCCCTGGACATGACAACACTTTGAAGTTAATCAGTTAAATCATCATCACCAAGATATAAAAGGATAACAACCAAGATACAGGGCATCAATCAATGTAAGAAAATTTTAGGGTGCTTCTACTTCATGTTACCATCTCTGGAATCTGGAACTACTATCTGTGAAGTAAATCACATCATTTTGCTCATCAATGTCCAAATCATTAGTGAAACGAATCGGCTTCCCCTCAGCTTCTGTAACCAAAGGTTTGGCTACACCACCAGCAGGACCAACAACAAGAAGGCCAAAGTAAGCATCCGCTATGTAGAGATCTCCGGTTTTCTTATGGAACCGCAATCCTAATGGCCTACCACACACATGCTCCAACTCTGGTGCAAATGAGCGAACACACATCTTCCTAGTAACCATTTTCAAAAGTTGTAACAGATTAATACTAATTTAACAAACAGTTATAAAAAAGAATAAAGCATATAGCCACATAATGTATATGAAAATGCTCAAAAAATTCATACAGAGAGACAACAATTTTTGACAAAACACTGAGCAATCACTTGATTTCCACCATCAGCCAAATTCTAGGGATAAATTCAGAATCACTCATCAAAAGTTTTCAAATTTTAATTTTTTTTTTGAAAATGTACCTATTAGCCGCTGTGTAAGCGAAATCGGTCCATCCAAGCTTTTTACCGCGCCATTTCAAGACCCGACCGTCGGAGACACCAACGTACGGACCTCCCCCTGATGGATCGAAAGCTATGCTCTCCGGACCGGAGGCTCTGGTTAAGTTAACCACTTTGGCTGACGGGAAAACATTACGCGAACGGGGGATTTTAGGCGGTGAGAAGATGCCATAACCGGTTTGAGAAGTGGAGACAAGGATTGCGAGAATTGTTACCACTTTTGAGAATACTGTAACGAGCATCGTGGTAATAGTCTGAGTGTGTAACGCTAATATTTAGTTTTGTTAGCTGAAAGCCTGAAACCTGTAAAGAGATTACTATCGTATAAATACATGTCTTAAGGCGGAGTATAATTAAGAGATTGTGGAGTGGAAGGAGAGAAATACAGGTGTATATATATGGAAATGGGGACTAGTATGTTTCAGTGTTGAAACTTTCTTCTCTTTAAATTTGGGTCCGACGTTCATAAACTAGTACTGTATGTTGAAACTTCAAACTGAAAGAGAAGATAATATGTTACGGCCACGAAGAAAATATATATTATTACCATGAGTTATTCTTTTCTACGCTAAAATTTATCAGGAGAAGACATGACGTTCTCCCATAACAATACGTCAGGTAAATTTGGAAATTTTGAAAGATCTTCTAAATAATGTAAAAAGGAACATGCCGAAACACAAAATACGACATTTTAGAACGGCTAAGTAAGAATCATGCTCTCTGTAAGTCTTGGTTTGACTAAGCCAAGATGAACAATATTAGGAATCAGATGCAAAAATTGTAAACTACTAAAAATGAGAATATATAGTAAAACCAATGGTCTCATCAACAAATATAGTAAAATACCATGCATGAAAAGTACCACGCGATCACTCACTAGAGTAGACTTTAAAGACACAACACACGAGTGGGAGCCGAGATATCTTCAATCTTGGGTAATTTTTTCCTCAACTAATTTGGTACTTTTTGTTCTTTACTTATTTGGTACAATTATGAGTGCTAATATTCAACTGCATTCCCGGAGCCTAAACTGTTGAAATTAAATGGATTCGTTGCCACTTGCCATTAACTAAAATTGAAGTCAACCCCGACATGACATGAAAATGTAGATATATACACTCCCACTTGATTTCATTTTCGACCACATAAGTCACAGAGATGGTTCCACCTCTATCGTAAATATGACTACGAAAATTCGTCTGCCTTCTCAGGCCCGACCAAAATTGAAGCTGGCTTGGCTATACCCTAAATGTTTTAAATTAATTTGATTCGTTGTCTGACTAATTCAGATTGAAGTAAAACCCCACATTACATCAAATTGTGGATACATTCCACGTTAATTTATTTCCGAGGCTCACATAAGAATCTTATGATAAGATCGATGTGTCCACTTCTAACATATATAGCCATGACCCATCGAGTATTTACTTCTTTTCTGACGGCTGATTTAACCACTATGGCAAGAAAAACGTGTTTTGTTTTCCATGTTAGTCTTTATCATTGCATAATATTGCTAATGATTATTTATATATGACAGAAACTATATGCAATAGAAAAAAAAAATTATATATGCAATATACACGATTAAGGAGGATGGTTTATAAATGACTACAACATATAATTCTTTCTACGACATATTATTAGTGAGGGTAATTCAACGACTGACACTTACTTTCATGGTGGTACGTAGCGTTTTACCTTGATGAACAATGCAGACGTGTTGTGGAAAGCGCATTTAGCTTGGACCGCTGGCTTAACATAATGATATGGCCATATGGGATCTATTTATATTGAGAACTTAGAAGTTCCTCTGTTTTTTGCCAAAAAAAAAAAAAAAGAAGTTCCTCTGTTTCGTGAGTCCTCATCTTGTCGTTTTTTTCGCTTCTTTCCTTGTTGCATAATATTCATTTGTTAATATGTACCTAGGGAATTTATTTACATTTTTAAGCATGTTCATTTTATGTGTGTGTGTGTGGATATATGTTGGTGAAGCAAATCATCTTAAAATCAAATTACAGTATGTAAGCGTGTAGTTAGCAAATGTTGGCCCATTATCTTCCCTATAAATATTCAAAACACTTAAAAGGTCGATAAAACATGATCGGTCACTCATTTGCGATCAAAAACCCAAATGGCTGGCCAATAAACAGACCCAAACCATAACTTTCCATCATCTCTCTCATAAACCTCACTTACATACTTCATTGTCTTTCCTTCTTTGTCTTCAAGTACTTCAAGAACCTCTCCGGTCTCACCGGATATTTTCACGGCGACCCCATGCGGCTTAAATCCGTTAAGGAAAGCTATCACGTACTCCATTTTTACTGTCTTTTCAACTAATTTCCCAAACCACTGATTCTTCACAATAAATCGACCTAACAGGCTTCTCTTGCAGTGTATACCAATCCAAAAGTCTCCCGTCGGTGTCAGCCGGATGTTGTCTGGGTAACCCGGGACCTTCGAAAAGATGTCACGAGTACCGGCTTTGGGACCTTTGATCCAGTATCTGTGGACAAGACTCGTGCCGGACTCGCATGTGATTAGGAAAGACCGATCTTTGTTTAGAGCCAAACCGTTATTACATCGCAGATTGTCCATGACAACTTTGGCCTCTCTCGTCTTCTTATCGTATCTGATCACTCTTCCTGACGGGTCCATACTGACACCTTCCATAAATACGTCCCTGTCCGACAAACATCACACAGAGTTTTGGATAAATTTTAGCTTCAATCCAAAAAACCGTCACAGCTAATTTTTGCTAAAGCAAATAAATATCCAAGTCTTATGTCTTTTTCACAAATGCTCGGATCCTAGATAAGTACATGTATAAAGCATAAAGCATACCTGAAATGATACTTGTCGCTACTGTCATTGAAGTAGAAGGCATCTTCCTCTTCGTCCATGTCCCCTTGGTTGGCAAACATAATTTTACGGCCTTCAACTTCATCAACAAGTAACTCAGCCAAGCCTCCCTTTGGTCCAACCTTCATGAGCCCCAAGTAACCATCGCAGATGTACAAATCTCCCGTTTTCTTCTCAAAAGTTAGTCCCAATGGCCTTCCACAACTAGGCACCACGTCATTTCTTGAGCAGTTCCCTCTTCATAAAAGAAAGGTTATAGAGTATCATTAGTTTATTTACTTATTTAAATTTTCGGAAAAGCCTACAATACTTTTTCCTTTTCGTTTAAAAAGGTTGGTTTTAGACTTTAGCCACAACACATGAGTCCCGAGACCTCTACGGTAATATTCCCTATCTTGTGTCGGTCTTTTTATAAACAACGTTGTAATAAAAAGTTTGAAAATAAAAAACCTGTGAGGAGATGTGTAGGCAAAATCAACCCAGCCGAGATCATCGCCGCGCCACTTGAGAATACGGCCATCCACGACGGCGGCATAAGGACCTTCTCCTTGCGGATCAAATTCAATGCTCTCTGGTCCAACAACAGGAACTGGAATGGTCTTAGCCGCTGCCAATATATTTTTGCTGCCCTCTACATCTCCAGGCACAAGAATGATCCGATACGAGATTATGGACAAGACGGCCAACACAGCCGGAACAAAGAACCAAGTCGAAACTTTCTGATCTTTAGTGGGCATTTTCCCCCCTAATCAAAATATGTTGTTAGAGAGACGAATGTATCACCCAAGGTTATCAAAAAAGAAGAAGAAGGTGAGTTTAATTTTTTTGTTATTGAGTTATTGTTGTGTAGATGAATACATAGTAGGTTGAAGGAGCAGTTGTCTTATATAGAGTTAATAATACTGTAAAAAAAACAAATCCATGCGTTGATTCAACGAAGGCGAACCATGTTTGTTTTATAATATAAGCTTATCGAAAACGTGAAAGAATATCACGGGAAAGATACTCTACGTAATTACGCATTATTCGCGCAATATTTTATTTGTTGTCATTACAAAGGCCACACGATGGATAACGATATTTTAATCCACACCAACTCTTCGTCAGAAAAATAATAGCCGTGGCTAAAAGAGAAACATGAATAATTTGTGTTTGAAAGTATTATTTTATTTGAAATGCATTATTATTATTATTTTACTTCCTATTTCGTATTTCATAGGAAATAACACCAGTTAACAAGCGAATTCTCCAACGCAAACACGTGTTTCCTGCTGTTGATGTTGGGACTCAGGGCATCATTATTGGAGGGATCTTATATGCTAAAATCCCCCGGTTTTTGCAAAGAAAATATCTTATATAAGATTTTTTCTTTGCAAAAACCGGGGGATCTTAGCCTCTAAGATCCCCCAATAATGATGGTCTCAACATAGTATTTTGTGAAATAATGTAGACACAACAAAAGTTTTGGCAATACTAATTTTAATGCAGGATTGTGAAACTGAATGATACGGACAAGAATCTAGAAAACTGAGCTATATTGCCGTCCTAAATTGATTACAAGTAAAGGCCGGGAAGGTCGAGCTAGACTGTTAGACTTACAATCATAATTCATGTCCAACCGAGATTGAAGTCGATTGTATATTCTCTATTGATATATACCTTTTTTTTTTTTTGTTCTTTTTTTTTTCATATAAAAAATGTAATACGAAGATTATTCAAGATGTTATCTATCCAACTACTACTCATATTTAAAAATTAATTAAAGATCGGAGATTTGCCACATACTTATATATTCTCTTTGTTTTCGAATAGATAATATTTTAATTCAATTTATACAGATTAAAAAGTTATTTAAATTTTATTTATTTATAAAAAAGTCTTTCTTTAATATCTATTTAAAACACATTTCAACCAATGAAAAAACAATATGCATAATATAAATTCATAAAAACCATAAAACAATACTTAATTTTGCATAGGTTGTGAGAAAATCATCTACTTTAGAAAAAAAGAAAAATCTAAAAAATCATCTATATAATTATAGAGGGAGATTATTCAAAAAAAAAAAAAAACTTGTCAATTTTTATGTTAGAGTATAAGGCATCTCACGTTCACGATCGATATTTGAAACTTGAAATTCGTGGGATCGATATCCGCAAATGTACTTCAATATCGAAAATAACAAATCTTAGTTTCAATCTATACTATTAATTGGGGATCATTTTTTGTGTTTGTTGCCAAACAAACCTGAAAAAAAATATTACAAAAAATGTGATTGTAAATCTATTGCCAAACACACCCAACTTTTTAAAAAAACAGTCTTCAAAATCGTAATTATAGGCCTATTCGCAGGGCCCAAATGTTGATCTAAACATTTTTAAAAATCTTAACAATCTAGATACCATAACTGATTTATACCTTTTAATTCGAAGCATAATTTTCTCCAACCAAAAAATGTTAACAAAATCTTCTTGCAGTTAACATTTTCGAAAACAATAATTAATTTTCCATCGTCTTACAATTAACATTGTCGATGACCATTATTAGTTATTGCCTTTCTTAAAACAAATTATGCCTAAATCAAAGCAAACCTCTATATTCATGGAGAATAATGAGAAAAAATATTCCTAAAATTACGAACAAACTCATAACT